GGGTTAAAGAATTCGAGCTTGTTATTGTGATTTTTACTTGGCTTTATTGATTTTTGATATTACTGTATTTTGTGGGCCCAGTGTGCTAATTGCCGCTCATTTACCGCTTTAATATTATTTGAACTATATTAAACTGTCTTCTTATGCCTCCCTTATGAGTCTTCTAAAAATATGGTGCACACGTACGCGTGGCCCACTTTTCTGTTAGAGGTCATACCAAATAGAACAAGGATGGATCAGCCACTAGGCCGGGTAGACTTTCGTGCTCCCGGTACGTCGCTCACACCTCGGCTCGAGTTGTCCGCTCGGGTAAGCCAGGTCTAGAACACATCCCCAGGTTTAAACCTAGAATAACAAAGCCTCATGCCGGATCCCTAGTAGGAACAATTATTTGCATCACGTGCATTTGACTTACCGGATCCCTTGTGTGTTGATCGGTTAAAAAAAAAATAACAGAAAAACAAAGAGTGAGGTAGAATAGAAAATTCACCCTGGTTTGAAAATCCCTGTATTTAAAAATGCCTCAAAACTCTGCCAAAAGTTTTGAAAAAAAAAAGAGAAAGAAAAAGAAAATGTATTTCAAAAATGAAAGTGAGTCAATATCATGCTTTTTTCAATTATGTCAAAACTGACCGAACTACGCGGGTTTTATTCTCACCAGATGTGAGATACGTAGGCAAACCTCATCGGTACCGACCCCAATTTTTCCAAACAAATAAATAAAGTATGTTCATGGGTCAAAAATGAAACCGACCCAACTTCGGTTAAATCTTGCGTCGTTCTTGCCGGAATAGCCTTGGAACACCTTACATTGTGGAAGGGCTATTTTCGCTAAGAACGGACATGTCTGTCAATAAATCATCACTTTTCCCAGAAAAGTGCCTTACTTCGGCCTCAAAACTTTATTCAAAAGTAAGAAGGGGCCACTATTGCAAAAATGACCGTTCTGGTCGATGTTGCACAAATAGCCATCCTTTAGGTGATTTTTCTTTAAAAAATTAAAAATCGGTTCTTGCAAAAATAGTCTGTTGGTCTTGTCTTTCAAAATTAGAGTCAACCTTTAATCCTACCCGCTCACAGGTACAAAATGAATATCGTCCAGAATCCACCGTTGAACACCGTAGAGCAAGCTCCACTACAGCTCCAAATATGGTATTATGATTTAGACAAAGAGGGTCAAGACTGGGTAGTCGAACATCTGGGTGCTCTCACCGATATCATGAAAGTTAAGCCATGAAATGATCTAATCAAGGCTTTAGTGACCTTTTGGGATCCTGTTCGTAATGTCTTTCGCTTCTCAGACTTCGAGCTCACTCCCACCTTGGAGGAAATAGCGGGGTATACAGGTTTTGGTCGGGGTTTGAGAAATCAACAACTCATATTCCTGAGGCCCATGTCAGTGCGCCGTTTCTTTGATATCATGAAAATCAGTAAGCAAATAAGAAAGAACCGTGTGAACGAGGGCTGCTGCTCATTCTACTTCCTATACTGCCAGTATGGGCATCCAGAGGGATTTGAAACACATGAAAAAGTTTTGAACAACAAACAAAGCAAAGATACTTGGAAAGTTCACCGTCATTTTGCCTTCATAATGGCATGTCTGGGTGTCATGGTCTTCCCAAATGAAAAGGGGACAGTTGATATACGTATGGCTAGAATTGCACAATTCCTAACTGACAAGGAAGATCACACACTCGCTCCACTAATATTGTCGGATATCTATCAGACATTGACGCGGTGTAAGTCGGGGTCTTCGAAGGTTGCAAAATTCTTCTACAAATGTGGTTAATTGAACATCGTCGCCATCATACAAAATTTATGAACTACGGTCCAAGCAAGAGCAACTTCATTGAAAGCTATAAAGAAAGAGTGAAAGACTACAACTCCCCGGAAGGGGTTGAAGCTTGGATCGCCCACTTGAGAGCTTTAAAGGCAAATCAGATTGGGTGAACTTTAGGATGGCTCCCGGTGAGGGAAGTTATATATATGTCAGCCATAGAGAATTATTTGCTATTGATGGGCTTGAGAAGTGTCCAACCATATGCACCCCAAAGGGTTCTGAGGCAATTGGGAAGGTATCAAGTAGTGCCTGAGGATGAAGACTTGAGTGTCCAAGTTATTGAGCTACATCCCGAAGCCCCACTTCCCGAAGCTTTAATTCAACAAATCTGGAATGGGTGCCGATACTTAAAAGAGGACACCCAAGTACCTAATCTTGCCAAAGGTGAAGTAGATCCGGGCTATGCCGCATGGTTCGAAAAAAGGAATTGTATTGATGAGGAACCGGAGCCCGAGCTAGAAAGGCCCGCCAAGAGGCCTCATGTTCAAGCTTTTGATGAAAAGATCCAAGAACGGTTTGCCTGGGGAGAAAAAGAAAAGAAATATCAAGCCATTATCCATGCCTTGGAGGAAACATTGAGAAACCTCGCATTTGTCAATGATTTGCAGGCGCATGTAGCTGAAGGTGAAAAGAGAAATTTAACCCGAGAGAACGAGGCGCTCCGAGCCCAACTCCAGAATATGAGGATAGCCGCTGAAACGCCTGTAAGAAGCGAGAGAGATGAAAAGATCATCAACAACTTAAGAATGAAGGTCCATGACTATGCAACTGACTTGATTAAAACCGAAAAGGATTTGCTAGATGATCAAACAAAACTAGCTAAGGGAGCAGAAGAACAGGCCTACCATTTGAGACAGAAATATGGAAAAGAAATAACAATTCTAAAGGAAAAGCTATTTGCCCTTGTGAATGAGATGGTCCAGCAAACCAAAGATTTCAAAACAGAAAAAGAGCATTGTTACGCACTAATATGCCAACTAGAAGAAAGCGTGCAACAGCTACATGACCAAAACAACACAAGTGCACAAGTGTTGGAAGACCGGGCATAGCAGATTGGGCGTCTGCTTCAAGAGAAAGGAGTCATCAGAACTAGGATCAAGGAAATAGCTGACTATGTCGTGATGAAATGTCACGAGTGTGAAGACATGACTAGGTCCATGTTTTTTGCTTCTATGATGGCCTTCATCCTCCAAGTAATAGATGACTTGAACCGTCTTCAAGAAGACATTGCGCGAAGGTCCGCGCAAATACCAGCTAATGCCCCACAGGCTCCAAGAAGACCAGTAGAAGCTCTCATGTACTTTTGATTAACCAGTTTTCGAGTCTGTACTTTACTGCTTTCTAGAGTTTTAAATTGTTTTGTCATTTGTTTTGAGTCTGTATTGTTGTCACTACTTTAATTCCCTGTAATGAAAAACCCAAAAAAGAGATATCCTTTATTAATGAAATGAAAAAATGCACTTTGTTACTTTATATCTATCCCCTAAACTACGTAATGATCTGATTTATGCGGCGTCATGATACGTAGGCAATCCACGTAGGATTCGATCATAACTCTAAAAGAAAGTAATTAAGAAAGCAAAAGAGAGAGACAATAAAGCTGGGATGAAACACACAGCCGTTGTAAAACATCTTAGCAAAACGTTTAACTGTTTAAGTGCATTGCATCCCCAATATGCGATTCCCTATGTGTTAAATGTCTCAAACCAACCGGTTTATTATGTGTGCTTTAAAAGAACAGGTTCTATTTTTAGGTGGTTGGTTTTGTGGTGGTAATCTGGCTTCACACCCTTATTTCACGAGATCTAAAGGAACTATCGCCATGGCCTTAGAGAGTCATCTACCTATCGTTGAGCCTGAAGATAGCCCTGCATCAGTTATCCCACAGCCTGAGTCAGCAACTGCTGAGGAGAATAGGCGGTTAAGATTCTGCATGCTAGAAATGTGGGATACATGGTCCAATGGCAGGGAGCCACCCAGTACTATCCCTGGTTTCCCCGAGTTGATCCCAAGGACGGGAGGAACTGCCAATATCTCTATCTTAGTAGCCAACCCATTCATGCCATTTGGGTTCCCCACCATGTCAACAAACTTCACTAGAATGCCTTCTGAGGTTCGTCCCCAGGCACCATCTTCAGGAATACCATCTACCGTGTTCACAGCACCACCAGCTTCTAGTATGGCACAACCAACACTGCCTCGACAAAGCTTTGAACAATCCACCTTCACTTTCCAAGATCCTCAGTTCCAATTGGACACTGCTCGGGTTACCCCAAATTCCTATCCTCAACACCCACAATCTGAATCTCCCGTAAAATAGTAGAGAGTCTTGAGGAATCCTGAACAAGAGGAGATAACACGAAAAATGAAAAACATTGAGCAAAGCCTCAAGAATATCCAAGGCCTGAGTGGCCAAAAGAGCATGTCATATACTGATCTGTGCATGTTCCCTCAAGTGCATTTACCTGTGGGTTTTAAGACGCCAAAGTTTGAAAGATATGACGGGCATGGAGACCCGATTGCTCACTTAAAGCGATATTGTAACCAGCTGAGGGGTGTTGGTGGAAAAGAGGAGCTGTTAATGGCCTACTTCGGAGAGAGCCTCACCGGAATTGCTTCTAAATGGTATATAGACAAAGATATCTCCCATTGGCACATATGGGATGACCTGGCCCGCAATTTTGTAAGGAAATTCCAATACAATGTGGATATAGCTCCGGACAGAAATTCTTTGTCCAACCTCAAAAAGAAATCCTCGGAAAACTTCCGGGAATACGCTATTAAATGGCGAGAACAAGCGGCTAGGGTAAAACCCCCGATGGATAAGGCCGAGATGGTCAGTGTCTTCTTACAAGCCCAAGAGGCTGATTATTTCCAAAACATGATGTCTGCAATGGGCAAACCGTTCGCGGAGGCCATCAAAATTGGAGAAATGGTAGAAAGCGGCTTAAATTCAGGCCGCATCTTAAGTCAGTCAGCTTTAAGAGCCACTTCCCAAGCCATTGAGAGCAGCTCGGGAGGTTTAGCAAGCCGAAAGAAAAAAGAAGAGGGAGCCATGATGGCTTCGAGCTTAAGAAACTCTCGGCGACCCCAGGATTATTCTGGTCCACCTTCCAGGGCCCCGCAGCATTATTACCCCCACTAGGATGCAGCCTATGCTATGGCCCCTCATCCTTATGCAGTAATGAACGCTCAACTATACACCCAGCCACAACAATATTACAATCAGAACAGAGCTCCAACTCCAAGAAACAACCCTCCTCACCAAGCCCCGTATAATCCCCGTCCACCACAAGATAATTACCAATATAACACCCATCCCCGTGAACCACCCAGAAAAGCTGACTTCACACCCATTGGTGAGTCGTACTCCAGCCTCTTCCCAAAATTAGTCCAAATGGGCCTGTTGCAGCCTGTACCTCCGAACAGACAGAACCCAGAATCTCCGTCCTACAGGGCAGGTACCAGGTGCGCTTATCACTCCGGGGCGGAAGGGCATGACACTGAAGATTGTTGAACCCTTAAAAGAGCAGTTGAGAACCTGATTGAACAGAAGAGGGTAGTGTTAAGGAATGAGGAAGTCCCCAATGTAACCAACAACCCATTACCAGCCCACAACAACGGGCCGGTCATCGGGATGATCTGTGAAGACAAAGAATTCGACCCTGCATTAAAAGCAATTATTGCCATTGCTGATTCAGAGAAGAAACCTAAAGCATTGGCAAAACAAGTCAGGGATGAGAAAAAGATGAATTCCACTCCCCAAAATGAAGAAAAGGACGGGGAAGCAAAGACAGGGGCAGCACCTGCCAAAGAGGCCATTCTCTACGTCCCAAGAGCCCCCAGAAAGGGACAGCTCATGTTAAGCCCTCCCAAGAGATTGGAGCAGAGGAAAACCATGCCAAATCTGCCAAAAATGTATGTACCAAAAGGGACTTACGTGGCACGGAGGCCAGTCATTCCACCTAGGCTGGATGAGCCTTTGATCATTAGCCACATGCCACAAAATCCCATAAAAGACACTACTTTTGTCCCTTGGAACTACAATCAGACAATTGTCACATATAAAGGGATGGAAGTTAAGGGGGAAGTGAATGAAACAAACCAATCTTGGAAGTATCATAACCCAAAAGAATTGAACAAAACCAAGCAGAAGTGTTTCCCCCTCAGAAAGCCTGTAACTATTGAAGAAGCGGAGGAATTCTTTCGGAAGATAAAAACCTCGGAGTATGCTGTAATTGATGAACTGAGAAAGGCCCCCTCCCATGTTTCACTTTTGTCTCTACTGATAAGCTCAAACGAACACCAAAAGGTGCTTCTAAAGACGCTGAATGAGGCGTATGTTCCAATTGAGACCATGGTTGAACAATTAGAAAGAATGGCAGAGCGATTGTTTGAGGTCAACCAAATCTCCTTCAGCCGAAATGACTTGCCTCCCGAAGGAGCCGCCCACAACAAGGCCCTTCACTTGACTGTCAAGTGTGAGGGATATTATGTGAAAAGGGTCATGTTGGACGGCGGGTCCAGAGTCAATATTTTCCCTCTATCAACATTGCAGAGGATGGAAATTGGGACTGAAAGGATCAGACTAAACAATGTTTGCGTGCGTGCTTTCGACGGTGTAAAGAGGGACACGATAGAGGGAGATTGACTTAATCCTAACCATTGGCCCCGTAGATTTTGAAGTAACATTCCAAGTTCTGGACATGGACACTTCCTATAACTCTCTGTTAGGAATACCATGGATCCATGCAGCGGGAGTCGTGCTCTCTACTCTCCTTTAAATGGTCAAGTTCGAACATGAGAACCAAGAAATAGTGGTCCATGGAGAAGATGAATAGTCAATCTATAGGGACCCGTCAGTCCCATACCTCGAGGCAAGAGAGGGAAGCGAGCGCATCGTCTACCAAGACTTTAAAATTATGCTTGCCGACCAGTGTGAGGAACCCCATGTCCTCAACCTTGTTTATCAAGCGCATCAATCATGGTCGCCAGCGAAATGATCAAACATGGGTACAAGCCTGCAAAAGGGCTCGGGATATCCTACAGGGCATCACAGAACCCGTCACCTTGGCTGCCAACAAGAAATTCTTTAGCATAGGTTTCCAAGCCACCGATGCCGACGAAAAATGGGCCGATACACGTAAGAAAGATGGGTGGGTTTTGCCTCAGCCAATCCTGCACCTCGCCAAATCGTTTGTTAAGCCAAGATATATAGAAGAAGAAGAAGAAGAGGCCTTCACAGCCGATGAAATTGAGGATATCTGTGAAGCAATGAGGCAAATGTTTTATGAAGTCCACATGATCCAACCGGGCGAAGGCTCGAGCACTGCTGAGGTGCAATACATGGGACCCAATGCTAAATTGCAAAACGGGCAGGCTACTCCATTCCCAGTCAGGCGGGAATCCCGGTAGTTCAGTCTTGCCATCTTTTCTATATTTCGAGTTATTTCAGGGTGTAACTCGAATGTTTTTAGTTTTTGTTGTCTTTTTAAATTCCGATGTAAACCCTCCTATCTTCAAATTCAATGAAATGAAATCAATATTTCATCGTCTATGAATCTTTTCCTATTATTCTTTCTGATTTTGCTATTTTTCTTATCTTTCTCTTTTCAGTTCTAATAATGCGGACTTAAATAACATGACATGCCTGCGGACTTCATGAATCAAGAACCCGAATATGATGAAGATGAGGCTTTTAAGGAAATAAATCGAGAATTGGAACAATTCGAGAATAAGCCTAAGCCAAACCTAAATGAAACTGAGCCAATTAATTTGGGCGATTCAGAAGAGGTCAGGGAGACCATGATAAGCATTCACGTTGAGGAAAAAACAAGAGATGCATTGATCCAACTCTTGTTTGAATTTAAAGATGTGTTTTCATGTCCTACGACGATATGCCAGGACTAAGTGTCGATCTCGTAGTACACAAATTTCCAACTTATCCTGTTTGTCCATCTGTCCAATAAAAGCAAAGAAAATTCAAAACAAACATCAACGACAAGATTAAAGTAGAGGTTGCCAAACAATTAAAAGCCGGTGTGATCCGAGTGGTCCGATACACCACATGGTTGGCCAATGTAGTCCCAGTACCAAAAAAGGACGGGAAGATCCGAGTATGTGTTGACTACAGGGATTTGCACAAAGCGAGTCCCAAGGACAACTTCCCGTTACCAAACATCCACATCCTTGTTGACAATTGTGCCAAACATGAAGTACAGTCTTTTGTGGAATGTTATGCTAGGTATCACCAAGTTCTGATGGATGAAGAAGATGCAGAAAAGACAACTTTCACCACACCATGGGGGACTTACTGTTACAGGGTCATGCCATTCGGTTTGAAAAATGTCGGGGCAACTTACATGAGAGCTATGACCGCCATATTGTATGACATAATGCACCAAGAAATCGAGGTGTACGTTGATGATGTAATCATTAAATCCAGAACAGAAGAAGGCCATGTGCGAGATTTGAGAAAGTTCTTTGAGCGTCTACGTAAGTATGACTTAAAATTAAACCCTGCTAAATGTGCATTTGGGGTTCCATCCGGGAAACTCATGGGATTTATAGTCAGTCGGAGGGGTATTGAGTTGGATCCAACAAAGCTAAAATCTATCAGAGATCTACCACCTCTGAAAACCAAGAAAGAGGTCATAAATTTGCTTGGAAGGTTAAATTACATCAGTAGATTCATCGCTCAGCTCACGACCACATGTGAGCCCATATTTAAGCTGCTAAAGAAAGACGTGGTGATTAAATGGACGGATGAGTGTCAAGAAGCTTTTGACAAAGAATATTTATCAAATCCGCCGGTGTTGGTTTCGCCTGAGCGTGGAAGGCCTTTGTTCTTATACTTGATAGTCCTGGAGAATTCTTTTGACTGTGTCCTCGGGCAACATGATGTGACCGGGAAGAAAGACCAAGCCATCTACTATCTGAGCAAGAAATTTACTGGCTATGAAACCAAATATACTTTGCCGGAAAGAACTTGTTGTGCCCTAACCTGGGTTGCTCAAAAGCTTAGACATTATTTGTTGGCCTATACCACATATCTCATAACCATATTGGACCCTCTAAAATACATATTCCAAAAATCAATGCCCACGGGAAGGCTAGAAAAATGGCAAATCCTGCTTACAGAGTTCGACATTGTCTATGTCACCCGCACCACTATGAAAGCCTAAGCCTTGGCCGATCATTTGGTTGAGAACTCGGTTCATGATGAATACCAACCCCTAAGCACTTATTTCCCAGACGAGAAAGTAAACTCAGTTGAGGTAATCTCAGAAGACACCAAGACTTGGAAAATGTTCTTTGATGGAGCTGTAAATGCAAAGGGTGTTGGGATTGGGGAAATTTTGATTTCCCCCATATTCGGAGGAGAATTGGCCATTCAATCTTGTGAACTAATCGAGACCGAAATTGGAAAAAGAGGTCAGCACTATCCGATTATGGCCCGACTTCGGTTCTTCTGTAAGAATAACACTACTGAATATGAAGTTTGCATCATGGGCATGAACATGGCAATTGACATGGATTTAGAAGAATTACTACTCATGGGAGACTCTGATTTGATCATTCGGTAAGCACAAGGAGAATGGGAAACTCGAGATATCAAGCTTATCCCATATAGACAACATGTGGAAGATCTTAGAAAATGGTTCAAATCCGTTGAATTCAGGTATATTCCTCGATTCCACAATGAGCTAGCCGACGCACTAGCTACCTTGGCTGCAATGCTGCCATATCCGGGCAATGTCCATATTAACCCGTTAGAGATTCAAATCCGAGAAAGACATGGTTATTGCAACATGGTTGAAGCAAAACCCGATGTCCACCCATGGTATCATGATATTAAAAGTTTCTTGAAAACAAAGAAATACCCTGAGCAAGCAAATGGAGACAAAAAGAGAACCATTAGAAGGCTTGCTAGCAGTTTCTTCTTAAACGGAGAAGTGCTGTATAAAAAAACTCCAGATCTGAATCTGTTATGATGTGTAGATGCCAAAGAAGTTGAAAATATCATGAACGAAGTGCATTCAAGAGTATGCAGTCCCCACATGAACGGATATGTCCTTGCAAAGAAAATCTTGCGGGCAGGTTATTATTGGATGACCATGGAAAGGATTGCTTTAGTTTGATCCGGAAGTGCCATCAGTGTCAGATACACGGTGACCTGATTCATGTACCGCCTTCAGAATTGCATCCTATGTCAGCGCCTTGGCCATTTGTTGCTTGGGGTATGGATATCATTGGGCCAATCGAGCCGAAAGCCTCAAATAGGCACATATTCATCTTGGTTGCCATTGATTACTTCACAAAATGGGTTGAAACGGTCACTTTCAAAGCCGTCACCAAGAAAGCAGTGGTGGACTTCGTACATTCCAATATTATCTGTTGTTTTGGTATTCCAAAAACTATCATTACCGACAACGCGGCAAATCTGAACAGTCATTTGATGAGGGAGGTATGCGAACAGTTTAAAATTACGCATCGCAATTCTACCCTTTACCGACCCAAAGCCAATGGCGCCGTTGAAGCGGCAAATAAAAACATCAAGAAGATCCTCAGGAAAATGATTCAAAGTTCTAGGCAATGGCATGAAAAGATGCCTTTTGCATTATTAGGATATCGCACAATCGTGCGCATATCGGTCGGGGCTACGCCTTACTTATTGTTTTATGGCACTGAAGCCGTAATACCTGCAGAAGTCGAAATTTCCTCTCTTTGAATCATTGTTGAAGCTGAGATCGAGGATGATGAATGGGTCAAAATCCGGCTGGAACAGTTAACTATGATTGATGTAAAGCGAATGCCCACGGTTTGCCACGGGCAGTTGTACCAACAAAGAATGGCCCGCGCTTACAACAAGAAAGTGCGGCCTAAAAACTTCGAAGTGGGGCAACGCGTTCTAAGACGTATTCTCCCGCATCATGAGGAAGCAAAAGGAAAGTTTGCTCCAAATTGGAAAGGTTCATACATTATAAGAAAACTGCTGCCAAAAGGGGCATTGTATTCAGTAGATATTGAAGGAAATGACCCCGAAACAGCTATCAATGAGGATGCAGTCAAAAGGTAATGTTTAACCCTTTTCACGGTCTTGATACTCTCCGGTTGGGATGATGAAGGCTTTCATTCTTGCTACCCAAACACTATCAACTTTCGTAAACCCTTTGAGCCGGTTATTCTTCTTTCATCACCCTCCTTGGAACCAAAAAAAAAAATCAATCAATCAATCAAAATAAAAACAAAACAAAAAACAAAATGTTTCCTTGAACTACGTTCGACTTTATTCCGAAAGGATATGTAGGCAGCCTTACTCTGGGGTTCAGTCACACCAAAATAAAAATCCAAATTCCCCCCGAAAATGAGACTGGGGCAGAATTTATAATAATTCGGCAACGCTTTCTCTTGAAAGGTTCCAAAGTTGTAATTCATTCAAATTCTTTTTACCCCAAATCTTGTTCAAGTCCTTCCGATCAATCGGTAAAGATGTCCAAAATTGGAGGATACAGTTACTTAGATCTGATACAACCAAACGAGAGAAATAAAATGAGAGAGTTTTATCGGTAAAAACCCAAACGGGCACCATGAGGCAATGGTAAGCAAAGAAATTAAAAATGAGAGAGCCTCGTTAGTGAAAACTCGCAA